AATCTTTTCAGAAAGAGCATTTCAACTTATTTACCATATGTTTGGCATGTGTTTATAAACCGTTTATAAACAGTCAAAGTGGGGTTTAACTAATTCTTATCCACATAATTCATGGAATCCACAAGTACTACCTACTTATCCTCCACTCGTTTTTTATCTATTTATGAATAAAACCGTCCGTAAACACTTCCCAAACAAGCTCTTAGTAATTTTATGTCAGATACTTTTGTGGGCTTGCCTTTTTTGTGAAACTGCACACAGAAGTTTGGTTTTCTATGATTGATAAATGCACATGAGGGTGTGTTAAGCCTGCTTTTACTTGAAATTCCTGTATTTAAACTTGTTTCAAGCAAAACTATATTATTTTGGGTTACTCTAATCAATACATGAATCATCCGTGCATGTTTACATAAGTCTGCACACTGTCTGTGCAGGGAGGGGTCTCTGTTTCCTTGACAGAGTTCTCAGTGAAAATAATCTCAAATACCAGCATTCATATTTCCTCCATCCAGATTTTGTGACCTCGTTTCTGTTTTGGCAGTCTGGAAATAATGTGCTCTCTCTCAAACTATAAATGTCTTTTCAACAGTTTCCTTCCATAAATTACAGGGTGTGATTCCCAATATTCTTGGCCACCAGTTTTAAGAGTTAACATGACAAGTTACATCAAAGACTCACTTTTAAGATCTCACCCAGGACTCCTTGCCAATTCAAATGATTTCATCCAATCCCCAGCAGAGGAGTGTATCTCATTGAAAGAAAACCTACCCCTTTTTATTCGAAGAGTAGAAACAATTGTCATCCAAGACAATTACGTGTCACATTTTATTACCTCTTTTCCCTTCTGTATGCAGGACCAGTGTTGAGGAGATCAAATCGCTTAGGCTGATTACAGCCATTAAAACTCCATACCTACCAGATGGCAGGTTTGATCTGGAGGCCTATGATGCCTTGGTCAATATGCAGATTGAAGATGGTGTCGAGGGGGTGATTGTTGGTGGCACCACAGGTGAAGGCCAGTTAATGGGCTGGGATGAACATATAATGCTCATTGGTCACACAGTCAACTGTTTTGGTGGGTTGATCAAGGTCATTGGGAACACAGGAAGCAACTCCACCCGGGAAGCAATCCATGCTACTGAACAAGGTTTTGCAGTTGGAATGCACGCAGCTCTTCACATTAATCCTTATTATGGTAAGACCTCCTTAGAGGGCTTGATTTCTCACTTTAATAGTGTGCTTCCGATGGGCCCTACAATCATCTACAATGTACCATCACGAACCGGCCAAGATGTTCCACCACGTGTAATCCACACTTTGGTGCAGAGCCCCAATATGGCCGGTGTGAAGGAGTGTGTTGGAAATGATAGGGTAGAGCAATATACGAGCAAAGATATTGTGGTCTGGAGTGGCAACGATGATGAATGCCATGATTCAAGATGGGTCTATGGAGCTACTGGCGTAATTTCAGTTACAAGCAACTTAGTGCCTAGTCTAATAAGAGAACTCATGTTTGAGGGAAAGAATCCATCTTTGAATGCGAAACTCCAGCCTTTAATTGAGTGGCTCTTTTGCGAGCCAAACCCAATCGGCTTGAATACAGCTCTTGCTCAGCTTGGTGTAGTGAGGCCAGTTTTCCGCTTACCATACGTACCCCTTCCTTTGGAAAAGAGGATTGAGTTTGTGAATATAGTGAAGGCACTAGGACGGGAGAATTTTATCGGAGAGAAGGATGTCCAGGTTCTGGAAGATGACGACTTCGTTTTGATTGGTAGATATTAGTGACCTTTTCCGTTCATGAGAACTATGATTTTGTTTTTCCATATATAAGTCAGTTTCATTTGGGACAATAAATGAGATTCTCTCTTTTTTCTCTTTGGGTAAATTGGGATGTTATATGATGTTTCGTATGTTAGTATTGCCATCAATATATTCTATATCTGAACATGTTCTTTCAGCTAATTGTGTGCCTTTCTTGCACAAGAATCTTTAATTAGTGGAGAGGATAATGCAAAAAATTTTACCTGTGTTTTCATGGTTATTTAGGATACATGTTAAGACGTGAACCTGAAGGGCTTTTACTCTATGGTAACTACACAATATATGCATTTGATTAATTGTCCATTGTTATAGGCGTGTGAAAATGGATGGTAGATCGGTCTGCTTGCATCCAAATCCGGTTCAAGCCTATTTGGGGCTTTAATTGGCCCATCTAAAATGTGTTTCAGCACAAACTTGGATAGTTCATGAGTAATGAATAAGTCATATGGGACTTGATTGTCCAACTCGACGACGCATGAAGACCAGCTCGATTTATTGAAAAAAATTAAGGTGGTGAGAGATTGCGTACTGAAATGGATAATGGAATCGGAGGC